TAAATATCCTCACCCAGGACTCTGTAAGCAACTCCAATGAAACTTATGGGGTCATCAACATAAATAAATAAAGTCAAGAAGATAGAAGAGGTACTAGGTGGGACGAGGAAGGGAATCAACAGGAATTAGAGGGGAACAGAAGGCAATGACGGTGAATATGATAAAAATGCATTATGCATATATATGAAAACAATGAAATCCATTATTATGTATAAATAATACATGCTAATAAAAATAAAGAAAAACTTGTCATTAAGAGGCCAAACTTACCCCCAAATGCTCTTTTGTTTAATTATGTTCCTGGAGCTTCTTAAACCCAGTTAGTTTCACTAACAGCCAAAAACTGCAGAGATTTTTTTTTTAAATCTCTGATGCCATAAAGAAGCCTCAGCATAAAGGTCAAATTGGGGGTGCTGCAGGGAAGGCATCCTTCTTCTCTTGCTTCCCAAACCACCCTTACATCTGCGGCTCTGCTCAACCAGCCACAGTGAAGCCCCCAGTCTGCACCCCCAGGCTTAGCCCTGCCCCACTGAACATTCTGCTGCTTTTTTTTTTACCCAAATGTCAAGAAACATCTTCCTGGCTGTCTTACAAGTATACTGTATGGTCCTGGTAGAATCTGGTCATTGCCACCTCATGGGGCACCTTAGCTAATTTCCTGGCCCAATAAGGACATGATGGGGCTGGTGCTGTCACCCTGCTGTGACAGTACCACTCGCCTTTCTAGGGGAGGAAGTATTTGGACTGAGAATGGAAAAGTACAGCCAAGTATTCCATCAGTGCTCTCTCACCGGCCCCCCTTCACACACACCCCCATCCCATGCAGGAGAAAAGTCAGGAAACCACTCCTTGCTGAGGCTGACGTCAGACCAACTTCTGGCTCATTGCCCATCTTGGAGTTCCATGCTAGAAGCAGGATTCAGATCCATGGGGAAGGCAGGTCAGGTCTGGGCAGTACTGGGTAGTACATTCAAATTAGCTCTCCAGGGCTGTGGTCTTGCCTCCAGAGACCTTGGCCAATTTCTGTAGTTTGAGTTGTGACCCCTGAGGGGAGAGTTATTATTGACACCACAAGGATGAGGACTAGAGATCCTCCTAAATATCTATCCTACAATGTAAAGAAATTCTGAAACAAAATTCTCCAACCATTATAACATATAGTTCCAAGACTGACTCCCTAGTCTGGGGTGAAGCCAAGCCCAGGAATATATAGGCTGAGTCCTCGAGTCTCAGGCAAGGTGGGCAGGACAAGGGAGAAGCCTGGGAACCAGAGCCCTCTGCTGCATAGTTGTTTATTAGATGCATGACATTCAGTGCCGTCCTGGCTTCACCTGCAATCCCTCACTCCAGAGCCAGGTCGTGGGTCAAGTTCTGTTTCCGCTTTGCCAAGTATTTCTGAGACCCACCTTCAGATATTCTGCCTTCTAGAAGCATCCACGGATCCTCCTCTATGGCCAGATCCACTGTCCACCCACACCAGCCTCATCATCCCTCTCGGGAGGATTTTGCTCCTGTAGCTCCTCTCTGATTACTCTTCCCTCCATCAGCTCCATTCCTCCCTGCTCCAGAGCTCCCTGCCTACACAGATGGAAGATGCCACACTACACATACCATACTCCTCCCCACTATACTATCAGTCGCTTCCTGTTTACCACTGGGAAAGCAAAGCAAAACAAAAAACTGAACGTCAAGGTAGACACCCAAGGCTCTCTGTAACTTGTTCCCATTCTATCTTTCACACCAACCTGTATAACTTTCCACTCTGGTCAGACTAGGCTAAGGCCTCAGATCTGCCCAGCACTGCCACCTCTTGCAATGCACTGCCCACTTCCCTCATCCACCTGCTCACACTGTGCCACCTACTCCAGCTCCAGTCCTCCCGGAAGTTGCAGATGCCTTCCCCTCTAAGTTTCCTTCCCTTGTAGGCACTGGTCTCACTCTGCCCTGTGGGGCTGAGCTTCACCCATTGTCAGGCTCTGTTGGCATCTACACATGGTTTTACCACTGCAAATATCAGCCTATGCCTTTGGCTAAATCCCACCACCTATGCTTTCCTAAGAGCCACTTTGAACTTGAATCTTGTAAACAGTGACTCTTTAGACAGCTGCAAAACCCCAAAGCTCTCAACAATGTAACTAAAGGAAACAGCCCTTCCTGCCCCATCTGACCTGGACTGGGATAACAGATGAGTGGGTAGACTCCCACACTGCATGCTCAGGCCTTGTATGAGAACCTTGGGCACTCTCCATGTGGTTCTGATGAACCATGCCCACTGTACCCATCAGAGCTGAGCAGGTGCCTCACCCTTGAGAGTTATTTGCAGAGAAGTCAGAGAAGGTGCTAAGGTGCAAAACGACTAAGATACCAAGAGCCTGTGGGGATTGTTTTTGGCATGCTTCACTGTAAAATTGTAGCAATCTGGATTTGTGCCAGTAAATACCAAGGAGGCTGAGAATAGCAAGGAGTTTCAAATCTTTAAATTCTTATCTGTAACCACTGGGCAGATCGCTCTGGGATGTGAAGGGCTGTTCATGGAGAAACACATTCAGAATACTGGGGCATCTGGCTAGGGTGCCCCCTCCCTAAAAGGAGGAGGTCCCTCCAAGAATGGCTATACCCCCTCCCACATCTCTTGATGGGCAATTTGGCAATGTTGACTAAAAGACAAAGACACCTCCTGAAGCCAGTATTGCCCCAGAGGCTATTTTTTCCTTATAGATTCACTCCACAAAATGGCCTACAGATAGTCATTGCAGCATTATTTGTAAAAGCAAAAGACTAGAAACAATCTAAAAGCTGAACAGGAGGGGACCAATTAAATAAATCATAGGGCATCTGTGCAGTTAGAAAGGAAGATCAGAGCTCGCTTTCTGTATCTATGTAGAATGATAACGTAAGGTGCATAGTCTGGTGGAAGGTCCAGAACAGGGGCGTCCCGGCACCTCATTAATGCCCTGGGGTTTGTAAAGGACCAGCCTAGGATGCAACTGCTTGAGTATTCAGTTTCTGAAAGTGGCCACAAGAAGCCAGGGTATGAGCTGCCTAGCAGGTGGGAGGCTGGGCGAAGGGACTTGACCTCTAAGCTCTTCCATACCTCTTCACTGCGTTCCACCGGAACATATTACCTATACTCAAGGCTAATCTGAGGCACTCAGGCCGGCAGTCATGGTGACTGTCAGTTCCCTTCCCCCTGTTTATTCTCATCTTTCCATTATCTCCCCCATCACAGGGAAAGGTCACCATGTAAAAGCACATGTGGTGGTGTCAGGAGCTGGTGGCTGTGCCTGTGTGCAAGCTTTGTCCTTTGCAAACCTGCAGTGCCTCTCACAGGAATGTGAGGTGCTCCCTTGGCAGAGCCACTGGGAGGATTAAAACAAACAGTCTGTGGGAAGCCCCTGGCCTCTCCAAGGTTGCTGATGTGAGGAGGCCTGCCTTCAACCTACTTAAGACCAGTGGGTCCCCACATTCTCATGGGGGGAGGATTATTCTTTGGAGAATGGCTCAGAACTTCATGGGCATGGGACCCCAAGAGGGTTCTTGTTCCATTGTTGGCACGGGCAGGGACTGGCAGCTGTGTGGGTATCCTTATTCCTTCCTCCCAAAGTTCTGTTCCCATGAGGATGAGAGAGGTGACTTTCCCTGGCTAGATATCTGCAAGCCAATGACAGGCACCTTGATACCCACAATACCTTGGCAGCGGCTTTGGAAGCCCTGGTGATGCAGCAGAGCCACCTCCAGAGCTGTACTCCAGCAAGAGGAAAGTGCCCACAAACAGCTTTGTTCTCCCTCTGCCCTGAGGGGAAAGCATCTCCTGAGAGCTGAGGAAGCAGGAAGCAGGAAGAGGGCAGCTCCGGCTGGGGTGCAGGGGGCCTGGGGGAGGGGGATGCGCGTCACAACCACACCTGCTTCATTACAGCTGCCCCTGTACCCTCCAACCTCCAGCAGGCCATGTAGTTTTCAGGTTCTGACTCCACCAATACCATGTGAGACCATGCAGGCTACTTGAGTGCTCTACCTCAGTTTCTTCACCTGACAAATGCAGATAATCATTACACCTATCTCCTGGGGTGCTAGGATGGTTAAATGTAACATATCAAGTGTCTAGAACAGTACCTTACATAGGATATGTAACCATTAAATCTCAACTTCTGTTCACTTTCATTGTTGTTGTTGCCATGTTGCCATCTTCTTCATCATCATCATCATCATCACACCACCATCGGCGATGCCCATATCATCATCATCATGATCATCATCATGGGCAATGCCCATTCCTTCCCTTACCCCTGTTTTGTTATATTGTCAAGCACCACGGTGCACAGAGGCTACTGAATCCCAACACATCTGCATCAGCCCCAGATCCTAGCTCACTGTTACCTACGGCCACTTGTAGAGCCACAAGCATCCACCCCAATCTAGAGATGTCTGGATCCCAGCCCAAGATGTGCATAGTCTGTGAACACAGTTCTCACCAGCCATGCCTCACATTCTCCTGGCCTCAAATTTTGTAAGCCCCAATTGTCGCTCCTTATCCTATTGCAGTGAGCACATAATGTAAGGGACACTGGCTTTTATACCTAGCCCAGCCGTAGCAAAGCTCAACGCCCCCCTCCTTAGCCTGGGGTGAACCACAGGTGTGGTCATGGCTCCTGTAGTCAGATTCACCATCCTTAGCACAAACAACATAAAACCCATCAGCTATCCCCAAGTCCCAAGCCAGCATTTCCCTGAGTCCAAAGTCAATTTGACATGTGACACTTGTTCCAAAAGTTCCCATCCAGAAAGGCACACAACCTCTTTACAGCCTTCATTGACAACTCCCCACCAACCTCAAATCACCTGTGTTAGCTGTGAACTTCCCAACACACCCTGCGTGACCATCAGGGATATATATGGTTCCCATAGCAAATGTGTGCACCCAGCACAGGTTCTGGCCCTGCTCTAGAGCCTGCCATGCACACTGGATGGACAAAGCATCATGACATTGTAATAGTTCTTACTTTCTGGGAACAAAATCCTGAGCATGTCTCCACAGTCACATTGGCCTGTGTCAGGGAGGTGGAGAAGGTGTGTGTGACATTCTCTGGCAGTCGGAAGCACCCTCGGTAGGTGGCAGTTCGCCCTGCAAGGGAGGAAATGGGATTTTGGTGAGAAGTGGTACCTGTGGCTGCCGGTGCCTGACACAAGAGAAAATGCTGGTTTCTGGTCCTGACCTGTGTGAATACACTCAGGAGGGGTGGGGATCACATTGGAGAGGGCAAAGCATCCAGATGAGGCTGAGCCAGGCCCTGAGAACAACCCACCATGGGGACCATGGGAACCCAGGGACACCTGGCTGAAACACTGACTCAGGGTTCACTTCTCCTGCCAGGTCCCTGGAGGTAGCTTCCCTCCCTCCCTCCCTCCCTCCCTCCCTCCACCCTAGTAAATCCCCTTTCCAAATGTCTGGACCATTGTATGAGTATACTGCCTGCATGTATGTGAGTGCACCCATGTCATGCAATAGGTCAGAAGAGGGCTTCGGATTCCCCTGGAACTGGAGTTAAGGATGGTTCGCAGCCGCCATGTGGGTGCTGGGAATTGAACCCGGGTCATCTGCGAGCACAGTCAGTGCTCTTAACTGCTGAGCCATCTCTCCGTCCTCTTCGTTCCTTTTCTTCTCTCTTTCATTTACTATGTACTAGCTTTCACAGAAGGTGACCTGACAGGCTGATATTCTGGAAAACCCTATGATCCCTGAGAATGTGCATGAAAAGACAGGTAGACTTGAGATCTGAACTGCTCGTTCTATCCTGCTATGCTCTTGGAAGCAGACACAGCAGGCTGCTGCGCTGCTTAGCAAGGCTGGCCTCGCTCTCATCTTGAATTCCCACCCAGGTTCTAGGAATACTCCTCAATCCTGCCTCACACGGGAAGCTTCTTGCCAAATCCTTCTTTAACCTTCTGGTGGAAAAACTTATCTCCCTTGCTGGTTCCCTTGATGTTGGAGCAAACCTTCTGGAATGTTCCTGCACCAACTGCTTATATTTCTGCCAGACTCAGAGTTTCTCTAGATGACATCTGATTCCCATCCCAAACTCCTTTTCATATCAAGTCTCCCAGGGCTTGGCAACTGCCTTCAGGTTCTCTCTACCTGCCCCTAGCTGCTGTCTGCCTCCAGGCTTTCTCTAGCTGCCCCCAGGCTTTTTCTAGCTGCCCCCAAGCTCTCTCTAGCTGCCCCAGGCTCTCTCTACCTGCCATACCACACCTCCTGACCTTAGTCATGGCAGAAATTTTTCCATGCAAAACTGTCAAAGTAGGGCCAAGGTCTGGATCTGGAAGCCCATCTTGATCAACCAGAGCACCAGTGATCTGGGAGTCAGAGCACAGATTTAGGAAAGCTACCTGTTGCAGGGCCCAGGGGCTGTCCAGCCTGTGACTGGCTCTGTGTCATGGACCCTGGGACTCTCCTCACTCACATACTGCCATGCTCAAATGTGCCCATATGACAGCTCCCAACAGTTGTATCTCTCTGCATCCACAGACCTGCCCAGAACTGTGGTACTATAACCAAGGGTAATGGCATGCACTTCCCACAAGACTCCTTGCTATCCTGCGGCAAGGCCAGGCCACAACGAACAAAGACTTAGCTCAGGCAAGGGCATACAATCAGCCATGGAATGAACAAGCACTGGAGCGTATGGCAAGGGAGGATCAACAGGGCAGGCAGCAAAGGAAGAGTGACCAGCATCCAACAAAGATTGGGCCACAGTGGGGATGACAGCAAGGGGCCACCAGGACTCCTGGATGGAGTTCAAGGCGTCAAGAAGTCCCCTTGGCTCCCTGCAGCCAGACCAACCCTGACACACAGAAGGTGCCAGTGGGTGCTGAGTGAGTGGATGAATGAAATGAGGTGAGGAACACTACACGGGGGCCCAGCATGATCTGCAACAGGGGAGCAACTTGTGAACCTCAGAAGGTCACAGCTGTGGCCCACTGCACATTGCTGATGGGACTGTCAGCAGGAAGTGCTAGTTAGAATCAACTGTTCCACAGCCTTCTCCCTCACTCCCCAGGTCAGGGCTGAAGGGCCACATAGGGAAGAAGAATGTCAGGAGGCAAGCTCACAGGCCTTGCTCCTTGTGAGTGCCCCCATCAGCCAGAAGCTGCAATTTACAAGGGGTGGTCACCTGATCTTCTCTGATGGTCTATTCGCACAGTTAAAGGGAAGGGAGTTGAGGGTAAATTTTAGCCACACGGCCTGATGGAGGAACAGCACTGACACCCTTGTAGACATGAAACAGGGCAGCAAATTTGGCCCTACTCAAGATCAGGGGCTGGCCTAAATGACCAGACTATCTGTCCCTCAGCCAATAGAAAACACAGGCCAACTACCAGTCTCTAAGAGTCCGTGACTGAGTCAACAGGGAGGTAGGGATGGAGGGAGACAGCTCAGCGTCCACACTCAAGCCTAGTCCTGATGGGGGTCAAGGGTGAGGGATCAGGAGTCAGGCTAATTATTTGAGGCCAAAGAAATGAAAGATCTGAGAAGCCAGAATGGGGCAGTATGGTCCTCAGGAAGCCCATGCAGGTGATGGGGTCAACCTCATGCCAGGTCAAGGTCTGCTACAGAGTAGGCATCAGTGGGCTTCTGGTGAGCTAATGGCCCCATCATCAACTTCTTAAGCTAGAGTATATTGTCAGTGTCACTGCCCCAAGCCCACTGCCCCATCTGGAACCCCTGGTTCCCAGTCACATGCTGTCCAGATGCAGGAAGCACCTGAGAATCCACAGCTGAGAGAAACTCCCTGCACTCTGGCCCTGTTCACAATGGCTGTGTCTCATCATGGTTCTTGGGGCTGGGCTATTTCCTTTGGAATTGTGCATTCTGTTGCCACAGCTCTGAAGAGAGGCCTTGCACTTGCCCCTACCAGACACCTTTAGAAACCCCAGAACCAACTTCTATGTTGGAGTTTTGAAGGGCCAGACAGAGAGTACAAATTTGAAGCTCCAAATTCATACAAACGCAGAACTGCAGTTATAAATTCTCAGAAACATTTTTCACACCAAAAGCTCAAGTAAAAGTCATACTTCCAGTGAGTAGCTATTATTGCTATTTTTCTAATCAAAACTGCCACTGGTTTATATTTCAGTAAGCTTGAATTCCATTTTATGAAGACATCTCAGTCCAAGTCTCTACTGGATGATGGGCCCAAGGCCTCCTTTCCTGCCCTGACAGACATTAAAGTCTCTACTGTGTAACCATGAGAGTTCCCCTTGCTGAAGCCCAGGGCTGTGCATGCCCCTCCTCCCTCTCGTCACTGTGGTCCTCAGTTTCCTTTTCATTTCTGGAGGCTGGGATGGGTTTACTTTCCTACTAATTATCTACCTTAAGCAATGGTGCCCCAATTGTACCCCAAAATTCTAGATGTATCTGATCCTCATGTCTACCACCTTAGTGCCAGAAGTCTAGGTTGTGCAGAGAGCTCTGTAGAGTAGGCTGGAACCCAGAGAAGGGAAGGGCGCTGTCTGCAATCATACAGCCCACCTCACCCTCCTAACCAGCTGCTCCTGCCAGGGATAAGGAAAGGCATTCGGGAAGAGGAAGTCACAGGTTCTGGTCCACATAGTGTGGTGCAGGGGCCGTGGGTAGGGTGAGTGGGCACAGGGGATGTGGAAAGCTCAGGGGCAGGCTGTACACTCACGGTTCCTGGAGCCTGGCTGCAGCAGTTCCACACCGTACACGGAGAGCCGGCCCATGGCCCCGCACATGGTGCCTTTCTCCCCCTTGCATTCCTGGTTACACTCTTTCAGGCTGACACGTATGGCTGGCAGACGGTTCCCACAGTAGCACTCAGCTCCAGCCTCCAAGCCCGCATAGACATAGGACCTATAGGGACAGCGAGCCTGGGTGAGTCTAAGTTGGAGTTCAAGCTAAGGAAAGGTCAGAATCAGGTAATGGCAGCTGCATGTTATGGCTGAGATGAGGTCTAGGTGTAGGCTGGAGCATGGCAATCAACACATGGCTGGTATAGGGAATCAGGCTGCATCCAGAATTAAAGGTCATCTAGCTAAGTTTAGGGAACAATGTTTCCACTGGAATAAACTATTTAACCCTATTGATCTGTTTTGTTAGCCTTGACTTGAACTTTGCCCATAAGTTTCCATCCATGGCTACAGGTTATAGGAGATTAAATCAGAGATGTGTAGGAACATGGTTCTCAGTGGGAGGTATACAGAGCCCTGATGTGCACTGTTTGTCAGTTGCTGTGGTATAAACACTCACCACAGATGATGTCAAGCTACCTAAGGTTGAATCACAGGCTCATAGCAACTAGAATTTAAAGTCTGCCCAGAACTAGCATAAGACTGGCCCGAAGCACCTGCAACAGGTCATACTGTGTTACAAAGGGGCCCTGCTGCCCAGACCCCTTCTCCTCCTTCTTTCCCCCTTACTAGAGTAAGACAGAGCAAGACCAGAAGTGGAAACTCACAGGGCCACACGGGGCCAAAACTACAGAGCAGACAGTGCCTTCTCAGTGGGTCCTGGTGTAAAAAGCTCAGACTAAAATCTCCACACAGAGATGAGGTCCCATTTAGCAGCTTATGAGCCAGGAGATGCTGTCACTTGCTACCTCTGAGCCTCAGTTTCCTTAACTGTGAGGAGACTGGCAAGAGAGAACAGCATCCTCACTCACCTTTCTCTCAGCTGCCAAGCACATGGAAGATGGACCCTGTCCTTGCCTTGTCCAGCAATAAATTGGGGGTATTTTGTGGCTACCTAACAGAGCAGGGTAGGGCTTTGCATACGGAAAAAAAATTTAGAGACTAAGGCGAGAGACTCCGGTTAGGGTACTGTCTGCTTATGCTGTTCTGTCTGTCTTCCAATTGCACACAGTGTGAACTGTGACTGTTTTGATGGTAAGGACCACTCCCTGACATAGACTAATGTCTGATAACCCCTAGGAAAGCTGGCAGTCTCTGAAAAAGTGAATTTTGTTATAAACACAAATAAAAATGGTTTTTCTAAGAGCTGGAAAGGCCCTCAGAGACAGTACCCTGTATTGTATTTTAAACAGATGAGTTAACTGAAGCCCAGAAACTCAAGCAATTAAGCTTCTGATGGGCCCCCATGCCCATTCTGCAGTTTGCCAAAAGAACTCCCAAAGTCGTGGGTGAGTCCCTAGCATGGCTGGAATAGAAGCCAGGTCTCCTGACATCTGCCCAGCAGCCTGGCTATGTACCCATGAACTTTCTTCTAGAGATCAAAGTCTGATCAACCAAGGTGTAATGATGGCCAACCAGCAACAGAGGCATCCTCTGCTTGAGACTATCTCCTGGCTCATTCCAGTGCAGTCAACTGCACAGTCCGACACTCACCGCTCGGCGCAGGCGTCCTGGCAGTGTGACACAGTCATTTTTCTCAGGTCATAAAACACCGCCCCCTTCAGAGTTCTCTCCTGGCCCTCCTCACTGAAGCATCCCAGGTAAGTGCCTGCAGGGAGGAAGCACAGCTGAGATCATAAGCCCAGGAGACAGGAGAGGTCCTGACCATAGGCCTATCCCTGGTAAAGTCCTGACTGCACACCACTCCTGGGAAAAGCCAAGGATCCCCAGCTCTCCCTGGTTAGACACCCCAGAAGCAAGGGGGAATGTGGGCAGCTGTCCAACTTGCCCTTAGTGCAGGAGCCAGTGGGCAGCTGGGTGACTCCATCTTGCTCCCTTTCTGGCCCTTTGCTTAGTGACCTACTGTGCATCTATTTCATGACCTACTGTGAATACAGTTCATGACCTACTGTGCATCCAGTTATGACCTACTGTGTATGCAGTTAATGGCCTTCTGTGCACCGGAAGGCAGTGCCAGGAGCCTGGCATCAGCCTGACAGCTGCTTTCCTCTACAATTCTTCCTTCTTCAGACTGGATACAAAGGGTTTTTTTAAATTCCATTATTATTGGGGCTAGAGAGATGGCTCAGTGGTTAAGAGCACTGACTGCTCTTGTAGAGGACTCGGGTTCAGTTCCCAGCACCTACATGGCAGCTACAAACCATCCTTAACTGCAGTTCCACGGGAATCCAACACCCTCTTCTGACCTCCATGGCATTGCATGACACGGGTGCACTCACATACATGCAGACAATACACTCATACACATTAAAATAAAAATAACAAATAAGAATTCATTATTATTAATTGTACATACATATGGGGTACAGTGAGATAATTCAACATGCATGTGCAATGGTCAAATCAGGGTGGTTGGCACATATACAACCTAGAATTCTTGTAAACATTGCCTGGTTTAATAACCTCAGACTCTCCTCCTCATCCCTGCCCTTCCTAGGCTGAGAGAGGCTCCTCTGCTTCTACCAGGGTCCTAAGAGAAAGTTCTACCACCTCCATGTGAGCCAGGGGAAGGACAGTCTGGGATTACCCCAAGATCTTTCTAAAGCAGAGGGCTCTTTAAAACAAGGGACTGCAGTGTGTTGCTGGTATATGTAAACAGAATCCACAGGCTTGAGATGGATGCCCATGTGGGAATTGGTAATAAGAGATCCAGGAGCCCTCTGCCATACCCTCAGGACTTTCCTGGTTAGGGACACTGGGGGTTCAACTCCATAAGGTAGTGACAGTGGTGACCCAACCATGTGCACACAGTAGGAGTCTGTGACAGCCCTGCCCTGTCACTGACAGTAAAGAGACGACTCCCAGAGCCAGAGATGCTCAGAAAATGTGAGCACAATGTAAGTGCAGCCCCAGGTGTGTAAATGTCACATGCACCACAGTGTTTGGAAAGAATGGCATTTGGGAATTTGCAAACACACTCTCACATGGTCTTCAATCTGGGAACGCACATCCACAATCACTACGTCGGTAGCTAGATGGGGCACCTGTGCTGACGTTGCACACAGCCCAAGAATGTGTACACGCTGCCATGTGGTACCACTGAACTGTCACCTGGGGTGTGTACCCAGGAAACCCGGCTTTCCAGGAAACCATGTACCCTGGGCCTCCTGGCAGCCTGATGGCTTCACAGAACTGGCCAGGGAAGGGCAAGGTCATTACAACTGGTGCTATCCCTGAGTGTTCCATTGTTCCTGAAGTAGGCTTTCAGTCTGAGTACTGCCACACTAAAAAGTCAATTCAGACTCCAATGAATCACCTCAGCTGTCCATGCCTCAGTTTCCTCAAATGTAACGGTGGATGAATATCCACCTTTGCTCAGGCTCATTTCTCCTTTGTCACCTTCCGTCAGTCTCTGCTCCCTGCTCCCACACAGCCAGTGCTTCTACCCCGTTGTAAGGTCAGGGTCCTCCCTCCTCCCTCTCCAGCTCACCATAGAGTCTCAGGACTCTTAATATTCAATGTCTGAAAAATTGTCTGTCAAATCCCAGTCGATAACTTGCTAAAAATCTTCTAAACCTGAGATGGGTATGATGGTACATGCCTGGAATCCTAGCACTTGGGAGACTGAGGTAGGATGATTGCTATACGTTCAAGGCAGGCCTATGCTACAGTGAATTCCAGTAAGCCTGGGCTACAAAGTGAGATTGAGCAAAGAAAAACAAAACAATCTTTGAAACTTGTGTGTGCTGTCTCTACATGACTGAAGTCTCCTGGAGGACAGGGACAACACCTTTATCCCCAGTGACAGACCAGGGTTAGGCACAATGTTGATGGCATCACCTAACTGGGAACACTGGGGCACAGCTCCTCCAAACCATAGTGAGGTGTCCTGAAATACCTGGCATAGGAGCAGAGCACCCCAGTGTAGAGGGCAGCCTGCTGACTATACCTGGCTGCAAGTCCCAGGGCAGAGAACAGCAGGAGGCTGTTTCTCACTCCTCAGGGTCCAGGGGACTCAGGACAGAGGCCACCAGGCTGAGTAAGCAAGCAGCCACCTTCTTCATGGTAGCCTCTTCTAAGCTACTTGCCTCCAGAGGCCACCTCCACCGACAGCTGGATAGAGGCATATGTAGCCACACCCTGCACTCTATGCACAGGTGTCTGTTTCCTCCCTGGCCACAGACTGCCTCCCTGGTACAGATCCCTGGAAGCTTATCTTGTTCTTGAACTTCAGGGCCCCTGAAACAACCATGTATGGCCACAGAAAATGCCCATCCAGGGCAATAGGCTTGAGTTACTCTCTGCCTGCCTACTTAGCAAAAGCAAACCATTGTTTGAGAAATTTCTGATGTGTTGCTTAGCATAGAAGAAAGTCCAGCACAGCTTTCAATTAAACATCCAAACATAAGCTCAGGGACTATTAAGCATTCCTCACCATAGTTGGAAATGAAGCACAAAGTTCACAAGGCCCCCGGCTCGACTCTTCCCAAGGCTGAGATGGTACATGAATGTTTCTGGGAATGGGCTGATATAGGCTCAAATCTTGGCTCTACAGGACCCAGCTGTGAGACACAGCTTCCCCTTTCTAAGATGCAGTTTTTCCCTCTATAAAGGAGGGGCACGGTGCCCATTCCAGAGGCTGTTTGTGAGAATTCCATGAGATGATATGTGTGAAACGTCTAATGCAAGGCTGGGCATGGTAAGTGCTCAAGTGTGTCTATTTTTATTGATAATAGCTCATTTTTAATAATGAAGATTTCTCAATGACTTTACTTCCCTGGAACCCACATCCTTCATCATTAAAGTGATGAGAGCACTGCTTACATCAGGAGGCTCTTTGAAGATTAAATTAAATGAGACGACAGATGGACATCTACATAAAACAATGCTCCGTACATAACAGATGTTCAAATAAGTAACAGCGATTATTATTCTGATCCTGTATTGTAACCTGGGACCTAGTAGGACGATGGATCAGTAAATATTAGCTGAATAATTAGCACATTAATAGGAAAGAAGAAAGCCATGGTTTCAACAGCAAGGCGGGCGTTCTGAAGTAAGGAGTGGTTTAGCACTTAGCTCCTGGCTGTTTCTGTCTGACCAATGTGCAGAGGAAGGCTCTGCCTACTGCCCTGTCTTAGGGTACAGCCAGGGCTTGAGACACAGGTGGTCCCCCTTGGTTGTGGGTAGCAGAGGAGCCCTCTGTCACTTGACATAATGAATGGCTTTGCTAAGTTCCCGACAGAGGCGAGAATGTGCAAAAAAGCAAGAACTTTCGAGGGATGTGCTGGGACGCATCTGGGGCCGATTTATTACTTTGAGCCGAACCAGCAGCGAAGGAGGCGATGCATTATCGTCTGTGACTCTGCATCTGTTCATTTGCACACCGGAATGGACAAGCCGTGAGGCTATTAACGATGGCTTTGGAGATATTGGAATGTCTTTGGAAATTACTATCAATAAAAAACAAACTGGCTATGGAGAAGTTACTATTTTTCCCCTAGTAAACTTACTGACATTTTATTCCATTATGGATGTTGTCCAAGGTATAATGAAATGCTGGGTGATTGATGGAGACTCCTGCAGCTTCCGAGGCTTACAGGATCCCTTTCAGGGGATGGCAGGCTGCCCAGGACTCAAGAGACGTTTGCTTTGTCTACAGCCCAGCAGCTGGCCGAGGGCTACACTGTGGGCTACTCTCCGCCAAGGATGCCCACCTGGCCATGAAGGGCCAGGGGCTCCCAGGCCAGGGCTCTGCCTTCCTGCCTTCTCCTCAGGCCTTCATCTATATTACAGTTCTCACAGATAGTGTTTTTCAGAGTTTGCAGGTAGACCAAATTTATCCTTAAATCCTGCAGCAGAGTCACAATATTTAATCAGCCATGGAGTGCCTGGCCATTCACAATCCCTACTGTCAAGCCCTGGGAAGCCCCACTGTTCCTCGCTGTCCCAAGAGTTAACCCTTTCTCTGCTTGTACTGGGGAATATAGGGGCATTCTGGAGGTCAGGAGCAAGGACAATCCTAAGAACATACTACTGGCCAACAGTTGAGTATTAGTCCTGCTTAGATCTAACTACAGTCTTTCCTGCTTTTATAGGACTCTTTCTACCACTATTTTAAGCAACTCTTTGGAAGCAACTTACTGGTTCTCTTCGACGTTCATATCTGCCTAGAGCCAGAAGAAGTCTTTCTGAGACCCCTTTGAGGGTCAGCTATAAAGATCTGCCCTGCTTCAAGCTGAGTGCCAGGCCTCTAGTAAGCCCATGCAGAAGTCATTGGATATACAGCTGAGTCCACCCCAGGCTGAGCACTCAAGGGCCCAGTGCAGAACACACAGAGAGACTCATCCAGTGAGTTTTAGTGAGTGTGGATCAGAAACGAAGAGAGGTCTCCAAGCCAGTTTGCTCAAGGTCACAGAGCCATTAAGTGGCAACACCAAGAGAGGAACTCAGCTCTGTTTTCAACACTTATGGGCTTCATACGGTTTCCGCGGGACCTTCTCTTAGTCATTTGCTCTTAAGTCTAAATTAGCTGCTCTGGTGATGTCTCATAGAGACCCAATTTCTTGGTGTGCTGGAGAAAGCTTACAAAAAACCACACCTGTGTAAAATGATCCGCACTGTCGGTCCCTCTGCCTCCTTCTCACTTGCAAGCCCTGCTGAAGAATCCATGTGAGGACCACAGAAGCTAGATAATGTCTAAAGAACTTTCCTTGGAGACAGGCACCCACAGCCCTCTTAGTCTTCACACTGCCAGGCTCTCAGTCCTATCTTCACAAGGCGAGAGAAGAATGGGTTCCTTTCTTTCCTTTGGAACCTTCTCATCGCTCTCTGAATAGATCCAAGGGCTGAGGATATGACTCAATGGTGGCGAACTTGTCTAGTATGCCAAGGCCCTGGGTCTGAGTCAGTACCAAATAAATACATAAATAAATGCCTGCCACTTAGTATTCTTTGCTAAGTACTCTATACACTGTGTTTAATATTCTACATACTATGCTTAGTGCTCTCTATGCACTGTGGTAAGTATGCCACAGAAGACCCTGAGATCACACTAGGCATCTGTTCCTAGGGCAGTGGTGGTGACTGCTTCTCTAGAATCTTCCTTGATACCCCCTGATACCCCACTACATGTTGTCCCAGTTAACCCTCACAATGACCCTGGGGCCAGTGTCTCTCTTGCTCTCTCTTTCTCTGTCTGAAAAGACCCAGCAATGTGTGGCTGAGCCAGGATCAAAGCCCAAGCTCTAGGTGAAGGTCTCATGCCCATCAGCTCTGATCTCCATGGGATTCCAGCCAGAGTGAGCAAAACACTAAAGAGCCTCAAGTCCCAGCCCCTCCTGCCCCCCAGGACAGGAGAGAAGCTGCCACGGGTGAAGTCCATGTGCCTACACTGCCGACCTTCCCTTCTGACATAGGACCCAAGAAAGGAGAGAGAACTTGTGACCCTGAGCTGGGCTCTCACCTCGGCTTCGGCTGGCTGGCCCAGGGGCCTCAGGGCCTAGGGTAGGTGGCCCCTGGGAGTCACTGGTGAGGTGGTGGAGCCAGCGGCGCCGCAGTGCACTACGGTTCCTCCGAGGCCAGCGGAGTCCAGGTGGGAGCTGGGCCAGAGGGCTCCGCAGTGCGTCCATTTCAGGTATCAGGTCTGGGATGCCACGGGGGTCATGCAGGGTCCTGCCATCCATCAGACCCATTCCCAGTGCCACGGTGGCCACTGGCAAGGCTTGCAGGCTGCCAGGGGCCCTAGGGCCCTGAGGGATGGCCACTCGGGCCCGCTGCAGGAGCAGCAGGCTGCCGGTCATAAGGTAGGCGGCCGTGAGGAAGAGCAGCAGGAACTGTGTTCTGCGGAGAAACTTCTGGAGTCGGAAGAAAGGTTTGGCCATGCCCCTGGGTGGCAGGGCTCCCGGCTGGAGCCTGGGGATGGCTCCTAGCACCCGGGCAGGAGGGACGCCAGGGCCTGTGGAGGTATCATCCCAGCACCCTGGCTCTTGACACCTGTCAGAATTCGTCTGGACTGCTGTCTCTGTAGGTGTTCAAATGTCACCATCACGGCTCTCCAGCAGCCTCAGGCCCTGTGTTGGCAGCTTCTGTCCAGGAGTCACCATCTCCCCCATCCCTCAGTTTTCCTGGCCTTCATCAGTCTCAAAACCTAGAAAAGTGGAGAAAGAGCACTAAGATGCCATAGGATCCATCACCCCCTCCTGGGGCAGGATACTGCCCAGCCCTGTGACTAATTTACCCAAGTGGTCAGTTATATGGCAGGTTCAGATCCCAGCTCTGCGACTGGCCAGCTGCATGGCTGTGAAAGTTGCTGAACCTCTCTGGGCCTCAACTTCCTCATCTGTTATATGAAGGTGACATCTGCGCTGGACAGTGGCAGTGAAGAGCCTGTAATGACAATAGCAACGAGGAGGAGGGAGCAGGCAGCAGAGGCTTTCTACTGAGTCCCCAGCAGTGCCAGGCACTCAGCTCAATGAGTTATACAGTCGTCTCATTTGTCATTCACCAATGTAATGAGCTAGATACCATAATGTCCTCACCACACAGATGAGAAAACTAGAGGCAAAGTAATTTCCCCAAACCACACAGCTGGTAAACACAAGGGCCAGGATTCTGAAGTCTCTCCCCAGATCCTGTTCTCTTAACTACTACATGGCTCAGCCTGAAATATGGCATCACTGTATACAGTGTGCCCAGCCTAGGTAGGTGTATACTGTAGGATCTTAACAAATGCACACAGTGAACTGCCTCCCTGGGATGCAGCAAGACTGCAAGCTGGATTTTGAAAGGTTGCAGAGGTTGGTCACTGGCTCTCACAAAGACAGGGGTATAGGGGAGGCAACAGATCTCAATGGGCTTCCTGCCAGGGTGCCAAAAGGTAGGTCAGTGACAGAGGTTGGGGAAGCTAGTGTGGATGAGGGAAGGTCCCTAGGCAAGCTTGCATGGCTCACTCTGCTGTTCAGGCTGTGGAACTCACACTGGGCTCTGGTTCCCATCGGTGGCATCTCTGAAGTGGCTGTTAGGGTTGGCTGGGGGCTCTGCAGCTGCCACAGGCTGTGCTGCTGTGCAAGGAGGGCCCCTGAGCACAAGGACAAGCTTGTCCCAGAAGAAAGGGCCTTGGAAGCGTGACTAAGTGCTGGCTGTAACTAACATGGCCAGGGCTGCAGCTCAATGGCTGCTCTGTGTGCAGGCACGGCTGGCCGGGTGTGAGAAGAAAGACAATATTTAGGCTCTGAGGTCTGGCATTCCAGGCTGCAGGGAGGCTAGGGGCCCAGGAGACCATCCAAAGGGGCTGGGACCAGCCTGGGCCTTCCGACTTAAGTTCTGAGGGCTGCCAGATCTGAGGCCTCTGGGAGGGCAGAGGTATGGGGACGTAGGTCCTTATCAGCAAATGATTCCACCAACTGAGCAGGAAAGCCCTTTCAGTCTATCTCAGAGCCTTTCTTTTCTGTCTAAGCTGGTGTGTCACCAGGCCCACCCCAGCTAGTCTCAGATTTGTAAAACCACGGAGAAAATCCTATGAAATCCGGCCTGATCTCTGTGCCTCCAGCGTGGACCCCTCCAATGTACTGTGCACAGGCTGCCAGGGTGAGCCTCCCAATGAGCAAAGCTGATCACTGTGTCCCTTGCTCAAAACCTTCTTTCAATAGCTCCCTGGGCTTGGGGATAAACTCTAAGCTTCTTAACATGGCATACAACATCCTTTGTGATCCATCCTGTCCAGGCCCATTTCTGTGCCTCAGTGTCCTGACTATACATGTGTGTGTGCGCGCACACACACACACACTCTCCTCCTCTGAGCCTTCGCTGACCACACCCACCCATGGAGACAGATTCCCTGGTCTGTAGCAGCCTGTACTGAGCCCATCTCAGCACGCACCATTTTGGAACAATCAACATCTACTTCTCAGTCATCCCAGAAGGACTCTGACCAACCCAATCAGATACCACTCCCTATCCACTTTTGTCACTGTTGCCTAGCCTGGCACAGGGGTGGGAGAGGTGAGGAGGTGTTCACTGATTTTGCTGGAGAATACATTTTTTTAAAATGAGTAAGAGGATGAGTATGTGGACAGGCAAATTCTGACAGGAGAAACCTGCTCTTGGGAGTCTGAGAGCAGCCAAACCCCAAACCTCATTCATTCAGAGATAGGGGTGAAGCCTGAACTGGGGAGAGATGGAGCAACGTGTAGGCAATCAGGTCTCAGCCTTACAGAGCTGTCATCTAAGACACATGTGGATTACTGAGAATGCCTAAACTTTGCACAAGTCTTTCCTGTTCTATAATTCCACAAAGGTTTCCAAGTGCATTTGTGAAAGGGTTCTTCTGGCTGAAGGAGACTGGAATCCTATTAGTATAAAATCCTACAAAACTGGCCGGGCGTGGTGGCACACGCCTTTAATCCCAGCACTCGGGAGGCAGAGGCAGGCTGATCTCTGTGAGTTTGAGGCCAGTCTGGTCTCCATAGTGGACCTATCCAGGACAGCTGGGGCTACAGG